AGTTACAGTTACTGAGTCATCCAGCTAGTCCAATCGATAGAAAAATGACCATCTTGTTAAGTATGTAGAGAATCTGTCCTTCAGTGAGTCAGTGTTGTTTTTCCTAGTACCCAAAAACAACTGCGGCTAGCAAATATCATGTAATTAAAGTTATTATGAGTTTCAAATGGTGTATAACTTTAAGTTCTTCTAATCTTTCATTTTTATGAACACTGTTGGCCTATTTGTGATCTTATTCAACACGAAGTTTAGCAAGAATGACTGATTCCGACAAGACAGCTGTATCATTTAAACAAATATTTGAAATAAGTGGTGTGTAAATGGTTCATATTGGACATAAACCAATCGTGTAATTACCTCGGTTTTGCAAAAAATCATTGACAGTGTCTCATTTTATTCAAAACTGGTTTCATATCCAAGGAGCGCATTCGTCCAACTTGACCACATCTTACAAAATTGATCCAAAAGGAAGAACTTAGTCATCTTATAGAATATAGTATTGTATACACTGAGTTTGAAGGGATAGCTTTGTAGAAATGTATCAGGTGTTTTCTAAAATTTCCAACCTCATGGATGAATTAATAATATCTCTTGCAACTAACCGAGATGTTGTCTATTCTTTCGTTTACGGATGGTTGTTATACTATATGCACTTTATGCCGTCACAATGTGTGGTAGGATATGGTACTCTCCTACTTAGTAGGTTCTGAAAAGTCACTTTTATCCGATCACAAACTAGCAGAGGTGTCATTGTTCAAACCGAAGAAACAGTCTCGGTAGCCACCACAAGCGTAAGAGCACAACAACCCATTCTTCTTTAAACTTCCTTGTGCTAAAACAGTTTTTCACAAACCCCTAGTCAGTCGAAGTACGTCTATAGATTTGAACTAACTAAATACTCATTCTGAACACCTTGAACATAATTTCATTGACTTTCAGTCTTAGAAGGTATGAGTAACCAGAACGCAAATTATTTTCCACATTAAAGAGTCAGCATACGAAGTATTCCTACAACTAAAAGTAGAGGCGATATTCTACACATTTACTGCGTACATATCTAGGTAACACACCTGAACCCTATATAATATTGATTGTTTTATTTTTTCCCCAGTAAATATATGCACGTGATAAATGTTTTCGGCCACTTTTGTTATTGCATGCAAGTTAATTCTATGCACTAACGTAGTCTTCCATCATACCATAAAATAACCAAATAACTGGTATTTTTGATAGAATTACTTACAATCAGTCACAGGGTAATAACGCTATGATACACTCGACACTTCACCTACTCACTTTCGGTTCCCATTTCCAAATATCTAAGTGCGTTCCATGTGCTTACAGAGTCGTTGACCTAGGTTTTTCTTCTCTGTCCCACATTCTTATGCCACATGATTGAACTGATACTACCATACTTACACATACCTTCCTGTTTTTCTCCTTCTCTGTAACAATGCACCCGTAGGCTTGACGGTAACCTAACAAATATCTGGTATTTATAAGTCATCCAACCTCGCCTGGTTAACTAGTTCACTAGTTACTAGCCGGTCCTAAGCCCGGGTAAAGAGGGAAGGTTGGGCATACGGCTGGCAACCCTACACCGTAAAACAAATCTAACCTTCAAAGCACAAACAAAATATAAAAAATGAAAACAAACTTATTCCTCGCTGGAATTGGAGAGGCGAAATGACGCCAGTTGGTGAAAGCCCTCGGGAAGCCAATTGGCCGATGTGTCTTCTCTCGATGAAAGCGAAAGTAAACGTGGGGACATGGAATGTCCGCACGATGTTTGAACCCAGTAAGGCAGCCCAGATTGCAAAGGAGATGAAGAAGTATCACATTGAAGTGCTTGGAATTTGCGAAAGCAGATGGAATGGGAGTGGACTCTCCAAACTGTCAACTGGCGAATCAATAATCTACTGTGGTCACCCAGACGACAACCACGAGCACACTGAGGGAGTGGCTATCATGATGTCCTCAAGAGCATCGAAGGTTCTCATGCAGTGGGAACCAATCTCCTCCAGGATCATGACAGCAAGATTCAACTCAAAAGGAAGGAAGAAAGGTCACAATCATACAATGCTATGCACCTACAAATAATGCAGAGCAAGAGAAGAAGGAGGAATTCTACAGACAACTTCAATCAACACTGGACAAGACATCAGTTGGCGACATCAAAATTCTAATGGGCGACATGAATGCCAAACTGGGAGGGGACAACACAGGAAGAGAACTAACCATGGGTCGAGAGGCGCTAGGTGAAATGAACGAGAATGGAGAATTGTTCGCAGAATTCTGTACATTCAACGATTTGGTGATTGGAGGCAGTGTGTTCAGGCACAAAGATATCCACAAAGCGACATGGATTTCACCAGACATCAGAACACACTAAAAATCAAATCGACTTTATCTCAATCTCAAGAAAATGGAGACACAGTCTACTGAACACAAGGTCAAGAAGAGGAGCAGATGTAGGTTCACACCACTCACCATCTAGTGCAAGGAACCTTCCAAATCAAGTTAAAAGCCTTCAAGGAAGCTGGTGATAGACTGCAGTTCAAGTACAACACTCGGAAACTGAAGGATGAAACTACAAAGGAAATCTTCACGTTAGTCAGTCATCAAGACAAAATGGGAGATACCGAGCAACATTCCTGAAGAAACCTGTGTGGAAGAACACTGGAGGACTTTGAAGGAGATGTGGAAAGAAACCTGCACAACAGTATTAGGAAGAAAGAAGAAAAGGAATGGATCTCAATGGATACATGGAAGCTGATAGAGGAGAGGAGGATGGTGAAGCAGAAGATAAACCAGTGCAAGGACGCTCAAAGACAAGAGGAACTGAGCATAATGTATAAAACACTGAACAAAGAAGTAAAGAAGAGTGCACGCAAAGACAAAAGACACTTCTACGAAACACTGGCAAGTGAAGCAGAACAGGCTGCAGGTAAGAGAGACCTGAGGACATTGTATCAAATATTCAGGTTGCCATCAGGGAAGAGATCAACACAGATGAAACCAATAAAAGATGATGAAGGAAATTTAATTACGAAAGAAGAGAAACAAAGGAAACAATGGGCCAACCACTTCAAGAAGCTCTTGAATCGACCACCACCTACACTTCGTCCAGAAATACCACCTGCAGCCTCCGAACTACAAGTGAACATTAATCCCCCAACGAAAATGGAAGTCCTGAACGCCATAAAGCTACTGAAATGTGGGAAAGCAGCAGGACCAGATGGAATACCGCCAGAAGCACTGAGAACAGATGCAGAGACAACAGTGGACATGCTCACACCACTATTGCAGAAGGTGTGGAAGGAAGAGAAGGTACCTGACGATTGGAAGAAGGGTTACCTTGTCAAACTGCCGAAGAAAGGAGACCTGAGTGCTTGCAAGAACTGGCGCGGAACCACTCTCCTATCCACCCCAAGTAAAATATTAAGCCGCATCATCCTGGAGAGGCTTAAAAATGCACTGGATTCAAAACTGCGACCGGAACAGGCAGGCTAGCATCAGGAAGTACAAATCATGTGCAGACCAAATTGCAACGCTTTGCATCATCATAGAACAGAGCATAGAATGGCAATCAGCTCTACACCTCAACTTCATCGACTTTGAAAAGGCCTTTGACAGCGTCGACCGAGAAGTAATTTGGAAACTGCTTCACTATTACGGAGTACCGCAAACCTTTATCCGCCTCATTCAACAACTATATGAAGATGTCACATGCCAAGTAATTCACAATGGCAAGCTCAGTGATGATTTTGAAGTGAAGACAGGAGTGAAACAAGGTTGCCTACTATCAACCATGATATTCCTGATTGTGGTCGACTGGATCATGCAGCAAACAGTGGGCAGTGAGAAGAGGGGGATAAGCTGGACGACGGAAAAGAACCTAGAAGACTTGGATTTCGCCGATGACTTATGCCTAATGTCACATAAACTTGAAGATCTGCAGGCAAAAACTAACAAGTTGGCAGAAGAGGCAGCGAAGACGGGACTTCAGGTGAATATAGAGAAGACAGAAGTGATGAAGATACCGCACCACTACCATCAACAACAACAACAAACTCCAATCACCGTCAACGGGAGAAACTTGAAGGAAGTAGCCTCCTTCACTTATCTAGGAAGCACTGTTTCAACTACAGGCGGGACGGACGAAGACGTCAAAGTCAGAATCGGAAAAGCAAGACAGGCGTTCATTAGCCTGAAACCAGTGTGGAGATCTTCTGCACTCAGCATAAAGCGTGAACAAGATCCGGATTTTCAACACCAACGTCAAATCAGTGCTTCTGTATGGTTGAGAGACTTGGCGCGTTACGAAAGAGATTTCCAATAAACTATAGACACTCATCAACATCTGCTTACGCTCGCTACTGAAGATCAGATGGATTGCCAGAAAGAATAAGCAACAAGGAACTCTGGGAACGAACCAACCAAGAACCTATCACGCAACAAATATGCAGGAGGAAGTGGAGATGGATTGGACATGCACTGAAAAGGCCGACTGAGGACATCACGCGTCAGGCCCTGGAGTGGAACCCCCATGGGAAGCGACGAGTTGGACGTCCGAGGGTGACATGGAGGAGGTCGTGCGAGGAGGAAATGAGAGCTTGTGGGCTGTCGTGGAACCAGGTTCAAAAGATCTCAGAGAACAGAGTTAACTGGAGACGTGCTACTGAAGCCCTATGTTCCACTAGGAACCCAAGGGACTAATAATAAATAATAATAAGTCATCCGCTGTGTTGTGAGCCCAGAAAATGGATGAAATGGCTTGAGAGAAAATGTTGTTGTCGTTTAGACACTCGATAAACCAAAAATCTGGAAAAATGTTTGTAGGGTTGTTTTTGGTGTAACTATCCTGTGGTTTACAGTTTTTACCCCTCGAATAGTTGAATAGTTCGGTAGCGAAAAACATTTCTCACGTTTTAGTCTATCAGCATATCCCCTAGTTCAAGGCTTTTTCTTCGATAAAATGATGTTCCATATCACGAGAATAATAAAAATTTCATCGCTGATGTATTTTAAATGCATACAGAATACAATACAAAATAAGAAGTAGGAAACCAGTCACGGAATATAGAACCAAATATGCAATCCGTATGATACAGGGGTAGTCGAATTTCTCTTCACTTTTCACTGCTTTTGTATCCCGTGGGATAACAGCCAAAGTTAGTGTTATTATCATAGATAAGACCAGAACTAATACGGAAAAAAACCTTGTAAATATGCCATTTGAAAGTTTGCCTACCTCGACTTATTTTCTCTTTGAGATATTACCATGCATAGTAAAGCAGTCGCTGCCCATAACATGCACAGTATAAACACACCAGAACCAACACCAAGAATCGTTGTCATTTTAATCTTTGAAGTTAGAGAAAACGTTGCCATAACATTTGACATGACAACTTAAACATTAAAACAACAATGCATTAGCTTTCTCAAATAGCTTTATATGTATAATAATGATACTTTCACTGCCTGAAGTTTAACCTCAGTCCGGTTTATTACCACACGGTTTCCCCAGTGATTCGGTGCCAGTACTAGGAGGTTCTTGCATCTCTATCAAACCAAATTCAAATGCTGTATGACGGAATGACACAGGATTTCGCCCAACTTGATTCCACCTCTAGAATCCGTGGATCACTGCTTCTTGCCGTTTTTAATTTCTATGCAGTCAAGGAGCGTATAATGTGGCAGTTAACTTTTGAAAACTCAGTTCTTAGAAGATCCCACCCACATCTCACATACGTATCAAGCTATTGTTTAAAGGATTCAGAAAAGTTAGCTTTGACCGCTCCTTCAGAAATTGCATCCCGTGGTTAGTAACTCGTAAGGAACAGAAATTGTCTGATATCTTAACCGCCGTGTTCCAGGCTTAGTGTCAGCGTGTTTTCTCTAAGGTCGGTGCTACAGCTAAAGATCCAACAAGTGATGGAATGGGTGTCCAGGAATGTTAGAGATGTTGCGAGCCGGTAGATAGTCTCCTCTTAGTCTTCTGTATTTCAGGGGTGCAGATCAAGCCCATCCAGCCTTTCTTCACGTGTTTACAACTAAATCCTCGAAGAGATTGAGCCCAGCGCCTATGGGTGCATTCGAAGCTTGATTTACTCTTCTCCAGAAGGGGGAAGACAATAGTCTCAAGCTCCGAAGGAAGCCGTATGCAATTGTTGAAAGCCTGGTGGGAGTTTTCATGATCGAACTGTCTTAAAGTTATTCTCAGAGTCGCTAACACCAAGTTTCCACGACAGGTGGCACGGGATTTTGAGTCTTGTGGGACTGAAATTCCCAGATCTCTCTTTCTGCAACGCCTCAAGTTTCCCACCGTGGGGGCCATGTACATGACATGTGTCGTGTCTTGTGTTCAACCTTGAATTCTCCTGCATTAAATGCAGGCCGACTGTTGATTGCTGAGTTTTGAGGTCGGGCTAAGCGTTCCTGTGGACAAACACTGTTTTCCTCACTTTATCATTTCGCTACATAGTTCTGGGTCATCGGTGAGGCGAAGGATTTTGGAGGAAACCCGTTGTAGCAAGTCGCCCACGCGTAGAAGAGGGCCTGATGTTGAATCCTGGGGAACTCCGCCAGGACTTTCTACTTCTTCAGACAGAGAAACCCACTCGGACCCCAAGTAGACAACCTTGTTGATATAAAAATAACCAGCCATTGAGCTGTACCCCAATCCCAGTTTGTTTTAATCTATCAGCAAAGCACTCATGACTGACATGACCAAAAGCTTCAAAAAATTCCAGATAAACAACCTTAATTCGACCTCAACAGTCAACAAAACTGGTCCGTCTATTTGCTGCAGTGAGCGGACTAGTTCGTTGGTGGTACCCCTTCTTAAATTCATGTTGTTGGGGCGCAAAGAAGTTAGTCTTGATAAGGTGGTCCCTCATTACGTCATGGATTAAAGATTCCGCTGCTTCGGACGGTCACGATTAAAAAGTTCTACATCCAACTGACAGGTAATCTGAAGCTTGGTTTTGGGGGAAAGTAGAGCATGATACTCCTATCGGTGTACTTTGAGATAAGACATTCACCCTCTGGCAGGCACTGAGATATCGGTATTCTGATTGTTGCCCGTTACCTGCATCATTTTCTGACCGCAGTACGGAGACACCTACAGTGATCTCCCTCGTCTCATTTACTTCCACGATGCTAAACCTTATTCCGGTGTACGTTTGAACGAACGCAGTGACGTCACAGACGTCTTATTACAAGTAGGGTGACCATATGCGATTGCCAACCTCACTTAATTCTTCATGCGAGCCCATGTTTCAGGACTGGTTTGTGATGATGATGATGATGATGATGATGATGATGATGATGATGATGATGATGATGATGATGATGATACGGTACTTGAAACAGAGAGTGGAGTACTGAACCCATAGGCTGAGTCTGAACTACAAGAGTCCTCATAAGTTTTTGTCATGACTTTTAACTGTAAAGTGTCCCCCATTTATTCCCCAGGCCATCAAAAATGGGCCTTGTCAGGAGGGAACCAGTTACTACAAGATAAGGTAACTGAGGAAATCAGTTTTCACAAAACAATCTTCCTGGTCAAACACAAATAACCTAGGGCTTTAAATGAATACTTCTGGAGTTCGGGTTCACAGATAAATCCATTGAAATAGAGTTCATATGGGATTTTGAGTCAGGTATTCGCTCATGTTTAGAAAACCTATGTACAAAAGTTTAATGAAGTTATAAACATTTAGATAAAATTCATGGTTTTTGCTAAGATGATAGCCACGCTTTATGTAGTCATGGGGTAGGGATGATCACGGTGTTGCCTGTTGAATGTTGCCATATCAGGGCCGTAGAGACAATACGGTGGTGCATATTACTTACATGTAAGTACTGATAACAAAGGGCAAACAATAAAACATGTTACATGCTAAAAAGATCCGCCGACAAACAGTTCATTTGTCAGTCAGGGGTAAAGGAATATAGTTCGGGGAAGAATTTTAAGAGATAGGTGTTGAGTTGAGAGATCAGTTAGGTTACGAAGAGATAAAGGTCGCGTCAGAGTAGCTTCAGAGTTCACTGTTGCAAGTCGCGTCACGCTCCGCTTCTTGTCCATTCCTGGTCAGTTTTCTTTTTAAATTAGATTTTATCGTAACCGTTGCGTTTAGTTTTCGGTGTCGTATACTTTCGTCATCGCTGTTAGTCTCCCTTGAATCTAGGACCTGTTATTAATTTGGCCGTCAAAGAAGTGATGAGAACGTTTGGGTGGGAAGAATTCACGAAGTAATCGTTGTACGCTACCTGCATCCCAACACTGCGACAGGCATACACCCAAGAGGAAAACGGCTCATGTATCGACTACCATGCAATCAAGTTGTTACGAAAACGCTGGGCAGGAAACCAGTAGAACACCAACGAAAAACATCCTAACATATATCTCATCACGGAAGCTAGATTTTGATCAGTCTACAGTCCGTGGATCACGAAGACAATTCCTGTGGTTTTCTCATGAAGTTCATGGCTTCAAACTGGCACTTTCATAAGTCCAGGAGCTTTCGAAGGGTCGGCAGATTTCTCCATATCCTTTTCTCCTTTTAATCCTAACGTATTTGGTAAGATGTCCAGGGGAAGCTCATCAACTGCAGCGTCCTTTTCAGGACACGTACAATGTTGTAGACGACCTCGAGTCGAGTTCACCTTTCCAGACAAAAGCGACACCATACAGTGTTGGCACCTCTCTTAGTGATCACTCCTCCCATTCGATCATGGTGTCCCACTTTGCGGTCTCCGGCAGACGCCGGTGTCTTCATTTCAAACAGCTTTGGGGAAATTGGTGAATTAAATGCAAGGGTACGTAACAGCCAAAATCCAATAATATTGGTCCGAAGGCGAGAAATAACTAGGCGGCGTCAACTAGCGCGAATCTAACAAGTTCCTGCGTTCTACTGTATGGCTTCCGAACTTCCGCGAGTGACTCACAGTCAAAGGTTGGATCAAACTATCAAAACACGGTTTGTGTTAAATCAATGGTAGATTCACAACAGAATCTGTGGTACTACCAAAGCAACAATAAGATATAGCAAAACTACAGAAACACTTCAACAGTGCCTTTGTGTGACTATACAGTCCGAATGTTCTCGGGCACAAATAAGTAGTATACGGTAAAAACTGGCTGAACAAATGCAATTGTTAAGTACCCGAGAGTCAACAAGAATACTCCAGACGAAAGGGATCAAAAGTCAAATCAACAAATGAACGTTTCCAGTAGCCAGTCAAATCACAGTACGACCCTAAGTTGAACAAAAACGAAATGTCGGGGGCAACAAGACAACTTCACCTTGTCAACGGTCCAGCGTCACATAATAGGAAAGTGAAATATTCATTATAAGTCTCAATCATACGAAGGCAAACACTGAGTACAAAGTCAAAGAAGACAGTCAAACGACCAAATAACATTACATTGGCTACGGTCAGAGGCACAACATCCATAACGAGGGTAAAAGTATTCCAATAAATGTCAGGTAGGATTTCCAGATCAGTTTTCGGTTGCTGTGTCTTTAGACTCGAGGTTTAGTGTGCCCTTCACAGCTTATTCCCCATCAGCGCATCCAACGAACTTTGTTGTCCCGAAAACGTGCCTGTTATTGTTGTCTGTATATAAACTTGAATTTTTTGATAATTTCAAAGAACGCCCATTCCTCTGACTCTTTCAGCGTAGCTGTCGTGAACGTGTCTACTGACAGTTCTGCTCAGCCCTCGGATTTTTAGTAATATGACCAGAGCGATATTTGCTCCGTAGCATGCTGAAAGTGCAAATCTTCCAATCGTGCTGATTTGAGCTGAGGTCCCTCACCGGGGACGATAGTTTCAGGCAGACCATGGCAGCGGAAAATGTTGTTGAGGACGCATAAGGTTTATATTGTGGTTGGTCTGCTGACAAGTGCAGCCTCTGGCCACCTTGAGTAAGTACCAGCCAAAATTAGGTAATGATTGCGCTCAAGTAGTTCAACAGATTGAACGTGAACAAATGACCAAAGGTATTCGGGTTCCGGCCAAGAGATCGTTACTAGTCATGGAAAATGTTTAACTGCTATTCAACATCCTGCAAGTCTGTTCATGTGGTCTGCTGTGCGCCAGTCTACCCCTGGCTAGTACGTCCGGCTATGGGCAACTGAGTTCGTGCCCCTGATATTTGGATAACGAGAGTGAAATGGGCGAAAATCTTATCCCAAAATGATGAGGAGATGACGATTCGACTTCAGAACCCGGGGGAATCATCCGCAATAATTAGGGAGTTGCGTTGGCGGCCTAGATGGGCATCCGTTAGCGACGGAACGCGTAACCCACTGTTGCCTGAGGGCCGCTTGATGTGACTCAAAATGCCTTGACAGCTGCTGTTATTTAATGAGCCACTAGGTTTGTGGAAGCTGCTCCTGCGAACCCATGGTCACATGCTGCGGGATAGCCGCTTGCAAAGCAGGAAAGAGTTTCTGCTTTACGGAATCCATGAATTCATTGATATTAGATCTTAAAGTCATGTTCTACCAACGTCGGAGTCCATCGTTGCAGATGGTTTGTGAAACCAGCTGGAATACCCGGATTTGATTCAGAATAGCTGTCACTGTTTTATGGTGTATCAATGATGCTAATTTTTAACCACAGACTAGCTTGTGCGGGCAATATGCGGCAAAGACCGGGGCCAGGGCTCCTTTTTCCACTTGATCACATCTGACTTTCGCAGCAGTCAACGTCTGACTGCACAAATTATAGCTTTCTCCTTCTCACCCTGAAAAACTTGTTGCGTTACTGTCCCGACCTTGTAGGCAGAGGTGCTACCGCTATTGCAATCGACGGTCTGGCATCGCAGCGGGTCAGCAAAAGTTAGGATAGGAGGATAAGCTTGAAACATGCTCTCGAGTCCCCTACCATGAAACATCCCTACGGCAAACGTTAATCGACGGTCAAATGACTGCATGCAAAGATGCAAGGAACGCAGGGAAGAAACACCTGCTGGTTCTACCATGTGCTGTATGACATATGTGTCTCCAGGTCTGGGAAGTGACCGGAAGCCCCGAAGATGAACCCCAGGTGTTTCACCAAGTGAAGGAAGAAGCGACATTTCTCAGGCAAAGACGAAGACCATTTTCTTCTCTTCTCTGTAGAGCCTGCTTGAAACGGTCTTGAAACCCCAATGGAGGACCTGAAACCGCAGTGATGTGGCCATAGTGAGCAGCAACTCCTCGTACATCAGACAACTGGATGTCTGTCATCTGGTGGAAAGCAGTTGGCGCCGCTCTAATTCTAAATGGTAATCGCCTACGCTGTTTGAGTTTTATGGTGTAAATTAGTTGTCAGCAGCTCATAGGGTTCACTGAAAACTTCTCTTTGAAAGCGGACGTAAGTTTGGCCCATATTAGCAAGTAAGGTTCAACCAATGAGAGCGGTGAAAGAAACCCTCTCTACCGAAAGACAGACGTGGGGTGACTCGAGTGGCACGGTGAGCCCACCTAAGAAATGTGCTTGATTCGACATTAACCACCGGACCTTTTAACGACTACGAAAAGAGGTGCTCAAGGAGACCAGGAACCTCCAAACAACACCATATTACCTGACTCACAGGCCACAGTGATGCCGCATAGTTTACTTCATGACCTCTCGAGGATGAATCATTGCTCATAACCACATCAATATAGTCACACCACCTTTGATTTCCGATCTTTGCATTGGAGTTTCTTCCAGGTCATCGAGATTATTGGAGCTCGTCATTCTACATCAAGTCAAATTCCTAAGTTCCACTAATCTGACTGACCCCGGTCGGCCAGCTTGACCTCACAGTCATTGCGGGGAATTCGTTACATCAGATTGTTTTGCTCAGTCAGATCCATGTGATCTTTGAGCCAACAGAGCTAATCTCTCAGCGGATCCGTAGGTTCAAGTACCGCCCTAAATCCGGCCTTGTTGAGAACCCTACGTATAGTTTCTGATGCTCATTCCTTATATGGCAACATGGCTGAAGCTTTGAACTTGTTCACACTCGTGTCTTCGTTATTGCTCATACCCGGGTAACTGCTGTCGCTTTGCCTCCCCCGTGTCCGTACGAATTTTCCGGTAAGTGGTAGAGGATGATTGTTGGTCATTAACGTTTCTTTTAGTTGTTTCAACTCCTTGTTCAAGTCCGTACGCCGACTGGTGAGATTTTAAGCTGTCATTTAGATCTTGACGTATGTATATATATAAATGTACATGTATATCAGTGCATTTATCACTTTATATATCAAATATATAAACCTTGTGTGGATTTACATCCTACCTTAATGCTCAATTTTCGCAGTTATGTTGATGGAACTTACAGTCTCTCTGTTCGAAATCTCGCCAGTAAACTCAAACGACCTTCACAAATTGAAGCCCGTTTCACAAGCTGTCATACTTCCGATATTCGTTGTTTGAAAAGTAGAGTTATTCCTCAGCATCTCCATCTGCTTATCCCAACAT